AGGCACTTCCCATTGTTTGTTCCTCCTTGTTGTTTTATGGTTTTGTTAGTCACCAAGTCAGTCTGCAGGAAGCCCGCTACTCCGGGGCCCTCTGTCCAGAGATTCAGCTATCCCCTGCAACACCCCATATTTCCCATTCTTGTCAGTACACATCACCAGCATGCCTCAAATTTTGGTTTCTGAGACTAGGCTAGTACAGACCACAAACCACAGATTGCTGTCAGCGGGTGCAGAAAAGCTGCAAGCAGGGCAGTGAGGAAGTCAGACAGATAGGTAAAGTAGGCAGTAACGTCAAGCTGCCCTCATCCTGCAGGAGCAGGTTCAGCAGGGTGTTTGAATAGGCATAAAACAGGGCTTTTGAATTTAATCTTAAAGCCCAGAATGCTGCCCTCCTGAGAGCAGCACTACCCATGATGATGCCGATTTGCTTGCTTCCATAATTGGTCTCACTGTCCAACTGCCAAGCTCATGAAGGGGTTTGTAGCAAGTGCCAAGCCAGTCGTAATGCCCTGGCTGGCTCCTACACAGTGACAGCTCACCACAGCTGGAGCTGCAGCACAGCACCATTCTCCCAGCCAACTGCTGTTTGGATGCTCTCCTCCTTATGGCCCGTCTGTGCCTATGGGACTGTCCTGCAAGCCAACACAGCAAGTACTTTTTGGCAGGGTTCAGAAGATGGGGGTAGTTGGCCTGGAGCTTTCCAGAGAGCTTCTGCCCAGTGCTTGCACAGGTGCTAGCCTGTTTTTCAGTGCAGACATACAACAGCTGCCCCTGGCAGGGCAGGAGCTGAGGGCAGCTCGACTGAGCCAAGGTGGGGGTGGTTTCACTGGGCTTCCTGGATGCAGAGCACCATCAGCGGTTTGTGTTCTACTTACTTCATTCTGACAAGCTGTTTCAAAATAAAGTTATCCACCATAATGTTCGCTTACTGCCTGTAGTTTATAATGTGTACTGTATGCAGCAATCCCAGCACTGACCTGTACTTCCTGAGAAACAGCTGCAGTTGACCAAGGGCACAATGCAAACACCATGCTCCTGGGGGGACTGCTACAGCAGGAGAGCAGAGCCATCTGAGCCATCTCTTTTCCCTGGGATCCCAGCTCAGTAACAGGCCTTGCTAGCCACCCAGGGCATGGATCTGCTCTTCCCATGCCCTGGCAGCACTCCATGCCTGACAGGAGGTTGCACCTCAGACAGCTGCTTGGGGTAAGATGTCAAGGGCAGGTACCTTGAGGACAGGGCAGGCACCCCTGCAGGCACAGGGATATGGGTTTGTTAGGGTGTGCAAGCTGGTGGCTAACCCCTGCCTGTCTCTAACAAGCTCACAGTGTGAGGAACTGGGGAAGGAGCAGTAGCAAAGGGCAGTAATGCACCTACAAATGGCCCAGCCTGGGGCATGCAAATGAGACAACAATATGAAAATGACAAAATCAGGCAGATTGGAGGGGGGGGGGACAACAACAGGGGATTAGCTTGACTGAACTGATGATGCAGGTAGAAATTACTTTGGCAACCATATCATAAATACCAAACTGGGGTACAAAATCAACAAAACACCTTGCCGATGGGAATGGGTAAACAAAAAAGGGCTTGTGATTTATTGTTGATAGAAGGAAGCTGCTAAAGGGGAAACTTGGGAAGAGAGAAAAGGGACTGTAAGGGGAAGCAAATCACAAAATTGGGGCTGTTTGGGGGTCCCTGTTGAAAAGTCTGATCACCACAGTTTGAAGCAGGGCAATAACTGTGCTGTTGCTCTTAACAGCTCTTGACAGCCAGAGGGAACTTGGGTGCTTTCCCCAATGCCAGCGTGAGAACGGATATCCTGGCAGAACGGTTGTCTCATGCCTGCACCATGCTAGGCCCTAAAGGGGAGGAGGTAGCAGTTATAAAAGGACATAATCTTTCAGAACAGGAAACAGAAAAAGGTAGCCCCAAGGGGAAGAGGTTGGTTGGGCTTTGAGCAGCTCCCAAGTCATTTTCTCCTGGTAAAAACTGCCACCTGGCCTACAGAGACCAAGACTTCTGCTTCTGTTGCATCCCAGCTGTGGCTGCTAGACCAGTACTGACATTTCTCAGCTAATCTGGGGCATGGGCTTTTAGCAGAGAACAGGGAGGCACACATGCTGTCCTCACATGAGGAAGTCTGATATCCAAAGAACTTCCCATGCACCACCCAATCTGTCCCATAGCACCTGGACTGGGCAGAAGCGAGCAAAGCTGCTCATCCAGGACCATTTCTGCACTGTAAGAAAATGGGCAGAGCAAGCAGCCAAGCGTAAGCCATGCATCTCCAAGCACCTCAACAAAGCCTTGTTCAAGACTGGCTGGCAGGATACCATTTTCCAAGTACACAGACTGAATTCAGCCATGGCACACAACCACTGTGATGTGCCACGGCTGTGTCTGAGCTGCACCCAGGTGCTTCACTGTTCAACACATGGAAATTAGTTGTAAGGAGACAGTGGAAGTGAGGCAAAGGAAAGAAGGAGGGACATGATGATCAGGGGTCTGGAGCACCTCTCGTATGAGGACAGGCTGAGTTGGGGTTGTTTAGCCTAGAGAAGAGAAGCATCCAGGGAGACTTTATAGCAGCCTTCCAGTACTTAAAGGGGGCCTACAGGAAAGATGTAGTGATAGGATGAGAGGTAACGGTTTTAAACTGAAAGAGGGTAGATTTAGACTAGATATTAGGAAGAAATTCTTTACTGTGGGGGTTGAGAAACACCGGAACAGGTTGCCCAGAGCAGCTGTGGATGACCCCTCCCTGGAACTGTTCAAGGACAGGTTGAATGGGGCTTTGAGCAACCTGATCTAGTAGAAGGTATCCCTGCCCATGGCAGGGGTGTGGAACTAGATGATCTTTAAGGTCACTTCCAACCCAAAACTATTCTGTGATTCTATGAAGGCAGACAGAAGAAATCCTAATCTAGGCTGAATCCAGAAAGATCATCTCCTGGTCCTAAAGTCAGGGCTCATTGCAGACTTTTGCTTTGGCCAAAGGCTCATTCTACATTTACCTTATTTCTTATGCTTTCCCAAAGCATCTATTACACCCTGAACTGCTGCCAGAAAGGAGATAAGGTGAAGCACAGAGCAGCAGTCTGAGCAAGATGGCAGGTCTGGTCCACAACACTGAGCCAGAAAAGAATGGATTGTCTCTCCTGATTAGCAGAGACTAAGAGCCTTCCCTGCTGCATGTATATTTCTGTCGTGTGGCAGGGTGCATAAATAAAGCAGGCCATGCATAAGAGCATTTCTCCTGTCTTCCACACTTACGTCTTAGTCCCAAGTTGGCTGTTACGAGAGATTATGTCATTGCTGAAGCAAGAAAAATAAATATCCTTTCCTCCCAGCCAAGAGGAGTGCAGGGCTGTGCAGGGACCACTGGTCTGGCACAGATGCTGGAGCATTTTCCTTCCTCACCGTCACCCTCTTTAGTGAAAGCTGGGTCAGCCACTTTGCATGTCCGCCACTATCAGCTCCACAGGATGGAGCTGACACAGTGCACTGAGATACAGTGACCACAGTGATGGAAATGCACAAATACCCATGGCTGTATGGAAGGGAGAGTCCTGGGGCTCTGCTCCCGGGAGGCTGCTCTTCATTTAAATCATGGAACCTCACACTGGAGTCACGAGCAAGGATTATGGGCAGGTGGCCTGGCCCCCCCGCCAAGCAATGCCCAGAGCTCTTCTCTGGAGCAGGCGGGCAGAACTGCTCTTGGGATGCGTACATGGACCTGCCATAGACAGGATGGGACCACCCAGCAGCCAACCATGAGCAGCAGATGCCTGCTGCTCATGCCTCTCGTCCCAGGCAGGAACAGCCTCAGCCTCCCTCAGATTCCCAAAGCCCCTTAGGCTTCTTCCCTTCTCCTGCAGCAAAACCCCCGTGGGGAAGAGGACCCATCACAGGAGAACAGCCACAAATTGGTCCTGGCTACAGCTGTACTGTATTGTTACAGGACTGAGCCTTCCCCCCTGCAACTTGGGCATCAGACAAATGCCCAGTCAGAGCTCACTGCCTCATCACCATCTCACCAGTCTGGGGACCTGAACCTGATCCTCCAGATTTCCCCAATGGTTTGCGGCTCCCTGGGTCTGAGCTGGGGCTGCAGAAGTCATGCTTAGTCCTCTGCATAGGTACATCATAGTGCTGCTTGACAGCTGGCTGTTTTGCTGCTGTCTACATCAACAGGCTGGTAAACCTGCAGAAGTCATCAGTAGCCCTGTCCAGACTCGGGGACAGCCAATGCCAGGGTACATGGTCTAGCCGCGCACAGAAGGGACATAAAATCTCTCAAAACCATTACCAGCACCAAAAGGACAATCTGTTTTTCCCCTGCATAGGTTTCTGCCCAAGGCTAGCCCCACAGCAATCGCAGCCAAACCCCTGGCCTCAGACCACACAGCAGGGATCACAGTTTTTGCCATTAAAGTCAATGGGATCCAGACTGGGCCATCCCAGGCCTTTCAGGAGCAGCTGGGAGTGGGGGGAAATCAGCAGAGGGCTGGGGAAGGAGAGATCCTGTGACTAATCAACAGTCCCCGAGCTGCAGCAGAGAGGCCATCACAACATTTTGTGCCCTGATCAGCACATAAAGATACCTGCAAGCCTGACTCTCATATCCCTTAATCCACTGGCATCAGGGCATCCTGGCCTCAGCTGAACCTGGCACATGCTTTTTCTCACAGTTTCTTCTGAGCTCAGTAGCTCTGGCACAGACACGAATGTGCCACCATATGAACACTGCTCAGCCGGGCCACCCTGCCCCGCAGCACTGCACCAGCATCTCCCCATCTGTACACCTGACAGCCCAGACATGCCACAGGCAAACATTTCATTCTGAGACATACAGATTTTAATATTAAAATAATTTTGTATAAAAATACTTTTGGAGACTGATGGCAAGCAGTCTTCCATGCAGTCTTCCATCCCAGCCCTGTGGCCTGATCAGAGAGGGAGCCAGAGCAGAGCCAGAGCAGCAGGCACAGGGCAACACAGCCAGCCCTCCTGTGATCAGGAGGTGGCAGTGGAGCCAGCTCCAGAGCCAGAGAAGCTCGCCGGCACCTGCACCAGCCACAGCTCTCTTGCTCTTGCTGTGGAAAGGGCCCCCAGGAAAATGCAACCCCTCAGCGCTGGTGAGCAAGCAGGGCTCTGCCCGACCCAGAACAGTCCCCAGCCCCAAGCCACCCTCAGGACCCGTGGAGGACAGCAGCCAGCACCGCTCACAAATGGGCCTGGGCCCCCCAGTCCCTCCCAGGCAGGTATGGAGCAGCAGCACACTATATCTCTCCTAAGTCCTCGTAGACAGGCGACAAGCTGCACTCATCCACAGACTGCTCCTTCTTCTGCACGTGCTGGGGCTTCACCACCTGGCTGTACAGCACCTCCACATTGTTGTTGTTGCTGCTGTTGAGGCTGGGTTTGATGACCGCCTTCTCAGGGGCAGTGTTCCCCCGCCGCCTGCCAGGGTCCCCACTCTTCTCAGCACCTTTAGGGATAAAGGCTGCCTGGGGCTTGGGGGCAGGCACAGGCTTGGGGCCCTTGGCCTTGGCCTGGAAGGCAGGTACCGAGTAGTCATCAGTGCTGGGGTTGTAGGGATACTCATAGCCACCCCTGCCGTCATGGCCCTGGGTGCGCCAGGCCTCGCCCGTGGGCCGCGCTTCATCATAGATGCAGGTGGGGGGGGGCAGCGAGCGGGGAGCACGACCCTCGGGCTCGTCGTAGATGTGTTCCCTCTGCCCAGGCACCGTGGGGGCCTGGCTGCATCCCTCAGCCCGGACCTGCTCATACATGCCTGAGTACAGCAGCACCGGCAACCGGAGCTTCGTCTCATCCAAGGCACCGCTGGGTGCCTTGGCCCCGCTCGTGGGCTTGCTGTCTATGGGGTCCGAGTATAGTGGGTCCAACCAGGGCCGGAAGCCCTTCACTGAGTCCAGGGGCTCTGAGTACACACTAGACGGGTCCTCGGCTGGCAGCACGGCGCAGGGCACCTTTGGCAGAGGGGAGCGTGGGGGTGTGCTCGGGACCGCGGGCTTGGCCTGTGGCACAGGCAGCTCTGGCAGAGTCCGGGTTTTCAGCAGAGACGTGGCATCTCTCTCCTCTGCCGCTGCACTGGGCCTGGGCGCCAGCCCTGCTTTGGGTGCCAGGGTGTCATCCCCTTCCGCAGGCAGCTCCAGGCTCAGGGAGTCAGCCAGGGCCTGGCGGATCAGCACCATGCTGGGGCTGTCCGAATCCAGCGAGTCACAGCTTTGCCGGTTCTCCTCCACCTGTGCTTTCTGCTCCCGGATGGAGGCTTCCACCAGGCGGAAGATCTCGTTGCCCTGCTTGGTCTCAAAGGTGAAGTTCCCTGGGCCGGAGTCGCAGCGCCTGCCAGCTTCAAAGGAGAACATCACCTGCAGGGGAAGTGGAAGGGTCACATCCTGCCCAGCACCTGCCGACCCAGCGCATCATGCAGGCTGTGCTTCCTGCTGAAGGGTGCATGGCTGCGGTGCTGATCCTGCACATCCTGCAAGAGAGACTTCACTGAACATCCTGCTCCTTCTGCTCCCCGCAGCGAGGGCCACAGCTCAGCAAGGACCACCCCAGGGGCATGCTGTGCTCAGCAGCTGCACAGTGCCTGGGCAGGGGGAGGCTGCGCTGCCCAGCAGCCCAGAACAAGCTGTGAAATTGGAGCGGGATGCACACTTGAGGGGACGTCACTGCGAGATGCCCCAGGGCCAGAGCTGCAAGTCCTACTGGAGACCTGCTGCCTTACCTGAGCAATTCCAGCAGGGTCAACAACTGGCACCAGATAGTCTAGGAAATAATACGCAGTTAGCACCGAGAATGGAGTAGGGTGAGAAGATGAGTGACAGTTCAGCAGGGGAAACTTATGGGCATCTTCGGTAAGTCAGCATTAGTCAGGCAGAAGGGAAGCGATCCAGAGGCAAGAGATACAAGACCGAGGAACACGGCTTTCCACAAGAGAAAGGCCAGAAGCAGCAGCTTGGCTACCAATAGTAAGCAAAGCATTTGCCTTACCAGCATTACTCTGTTAATGGTATAAAGTACTTTAAAGAGAAGTCTTGCACCAAGGCTGTGTTCCTCAGGCCTGAACACTCATGCGCAGGTTCCCACCAGCAGATGCCCACACCCTTCCTGAACCTCAGTCTCTGAATCCAGGTGAGATTTTCTGCCTCACTGGTGCTCTCTCACGTGCAGCAGCAGTCTCTGGGGTTGCTGCAAAAGCCTCCGGGGCCAGACTTCCTTTTGTGGGTCAATGCTGCCAAACACAAGCACAGCCAACCTATCACCGCTCGAGGACCTGTGGGTGCAGCTGCCTGCTCCTCACACCATGTGGCTCTCGTCCTGCCCCTGGCACAGACCCTGTAGATGAGCCAGACGCCTCCCCAAGAGCAGCTCAGTTTCCACTTCTGTTTTGGTAAAGTGCCGCAGAAAGCGCCATCAGCAGACTGCAGCGAACACCATCACTTCTATAAACAGCCCTGGGGAGACCACTTCCTCCCCATCCAGTGCGGCAGGTACCTCTTGCGCTCAGGGTAGCAGCAAGACAGATCAGGGACCCACTGCTGGAGGACACTGGAGAGGGGACGGACCTACACAGGTCAGCCAGGCTAAGAGCAGTATGCCCTGTAAGGTGAACAAATCTAGAGTAACTGGTGTCTCAAACAGCCCCTCCTGCTCTGGCCACCATCCTTCAGGAGGGATGGACTGAATCCAGGGCAGAGCCAGAACTGCAGGGAGCCAAGGTCCTCGGAGGCTGGGGAGAGCTTGTGCGCTGCAGCACAGGACATGCCTGCCCACGCACGGCATAGGCTGGGGAGCGCTGGGATGGGCAAGCTGGCTGCGGGGATGTCCAGCAGAGGGCCGGGCAGGGGCTGCAATGGCCCCAGTGGGAGCGGGGCAAGAACCACACCGAGAGGGGCTCTGCACAGCCATGCCCTCGGTGGGGACAGGTGTCCTGCTAGCCCACGCTCCTGCACGGTGATGCAGGCGGGAGCTGAGGACAGGCAGGATCACAGGTGCCCCTGGAGACCCTGCTGTGGTCGCCGAGGGCTGTACGAGTTCTGGCATTTGGCAGGGCCCGCTGCACGGCTGCCACAGGCTCGTCGGGCACATCAGCTCCTTACACTTCGGCAAGGGAAAGCCTGCAGGGGAACAGGCCTCAGCACGCGGCATGCAGAGCCCCCCCATCCCCCACCTTGTCCCGGCCGTATCTCCGGAGCAGCCGGTAGGGCCAGACATAGAGGATCTCATTTGTCCGTGGGTCCTTCAGGACGAGGCTGTCACGCTCAGCCTTGAGCACGTAGGCGCCGCGCAGCTCGCATCGCTCCGCGGCCTCAGTCCGTTGCACCGTCACCCAGAAGGCATTCACTGTGGGGACAGGGATGCTCAGGGAGGGTGGAGAAAGCTACATCCCCAGCTCCAGGTGAGGCCTCGCCCTGCCCACCGGAGCCCTGGTGATGGGGCAGCAGCAGGACTGGCCCCGCAGAAGGTGGCCCAAAATCAGGGCAGCGGCAGGTCCCACCTTCATCTCTCGAGTAGTAGATGGAGTTCACGGCCATCTCCAGGGCCGGCGCCTCCCCGCTGCCCTCTCTGCCACGCCGGGCCACCAGGCCAGCATCGCTGGGGCCGTTTCCCTGACAATGGAGAACAGATCAGCCCCAGCCCCCTCTTCCCACATCAGCCCTTGGGTCCCCTTGCAGCCACTGCACCCCCCCAGCCCTGCATCGCCTGGGCCTCGCTGCCCTGCCCGAGGGGCCTACCCTAGCCCCACACAGCTTGGCCATCCTGCAGCCATACCAAGCCCTTCCCTGCCCAGAGCCTGTGACAGACCCCAGGGCCCCCCACCCTGAGCCAACATGAACATGGATGAACAGGGCCAGGCAGCGCAGGAGGGACTTCCCTGGAGCTCCCAGCACGACCCTGGGCCCCAGCTGGGCTGTGCATTGGACAGGGTGCAGAAGAAAGCAGTTACCCCCGGCAGCCCTACCCTCCAGACCCTGCCCCCCAGTGCAGCACAAGCCAGCACTGAGACATGGCCTCCTGCAGTGCAGCACCTCGGGGTCCCATGTGCCCAGTCCACTGCTGCTTGTCTGACCACTATGGTGTGTCCATGCAGGTGCCCTGGTGCTGAGGTAGAGAACAGCTCTGCTTCCTCACCGATGTGCTCCAGCACAGGCAACATTGGCACCCAAAGCATCGCATGGGCCCAGGCACACTCTCCCAGTGGTACAAGCAAAGGAAGGAGCTGATGAGACAACCCAGTAACACAAGGGTCTGTGTCCTGCTTCTGCACAGGCAGGAAGGTGGTGCCAGTATCAGCACACAGCCCACAGAAGGGAAGCAAGCACTTCTATTTTAGTGCATGCAGAACTGAAAGTGCAACGCACACACTCTGTGTCAGCAACCATGTCCCAGCAGCAGGGTCCCCTAAGGGCCTGTGTGGGGGATGCACCCTCAGTGCTACCACCAAAGAGCAAAGATCCTCCTCCAGGGAAGCCCCACGCAAATCAAAGGCTCACAGATGCCCTGCAAGAGCTGCTTCAGCAGACTTTGCACCGTTGCATGAGGGTCTGTATTTGGACGGGAGCTAGAAGCTGTTTCTCAGGGTCACATGGGATGGGGTTGCAGCAGAGTGTACGTCTTGCAGAAGGCAAGCTGTCACAGTTTCAGTTTAAAACCCAGCCACATGAACTTCTTAACAAGAGGCAAGGCCTAAAAAGGCCATCAGGCCCTCTTGTTTGGCTCCTAAATAGAATGGGGACTGCTAAAACCTAGTGTCCTTAATACTGACAGCAGCAGTTTCTGCTCAGCTAAAGCATCCAATACAGCAGGGTTCGAGCCTGGGATCAGGAAGTCAAGGGCCAGCCAATCTGCCAGAGCCCTTTAGGGTTCTGTTTGACTTCACTTTCCCTCATCTTCAAAAGAAAAAGAAATTCTGTTCTGAACTCCAAATGATCTCTGGCCCCAGTTCCCAAGCTACTGGATCCTGCTTATCCTCTGGGCAGCAACAAACAACATGACACAAAATCATGCTCTTCATGCAGATGACCAGAAATCACAACTGAGGATCTTCAGCTTTTTGCAGAGAGGCCATGTGCAGCTCCTGTGTCTCTTGCTCCAGGCCAGAGCTTTCTAGAACATATGCCATCCTTGCAGCCTTTTGCTCACCACTTCCTAAACTGTCAGCTTGCTTCTGGACCTCAAGCACACAACTAATAGCTACTGTGGGAAGGAAGGTATGAACACATCCCTGCTCTGAGCAGATGTTCGCCTGCCTTGCCACTACCCTGCACCACTCCAAAGGCACGTGCTGTGTCCTCAGCTCAGCCTCGCAAGCCATTTCCAGGACAAATGCTGCAACACTGTCTGCACCAGACATGGGCATGGGCATGGACGTGGAGTAATTTCCAGTACCATGCCAGTGCGCCAGTGCCTCTTGGCCTGGTCAGCAGGGTACTTGCTGCACAGACACATTTGGCTTGACAGCAGACTGCAGGGAGACACAAGCAGGGACAAAAAAAGGCTTAAGGTAAATCACACTCAGCAAACACCCAGGTCCTTGTGGGAAGATCCTGGGATCACCATCTGTGCAACCAGCCATCCCGCGAGGCAGCCCTGCCCAGCTGGAATCAGCTAGAGCACAACACAGGGCTGTGCAGACATCTCCTAAGAGGGAGAGCAGGGGACCTGTGGAGCAGGGCAGGCGCGGGCTGCTCTTGCAGAGCAGTGTGGACGACCATACTTGTAGGCCACCCACTGTTCAAACTGCCTTCACAGGGAGGTGTCGTGCTGGCTGACCACCAGCTCCAGGGAAGGCTGCAGAGCTGCTACGGGGGCACAGGCAGAGGATGGGGGAGCTGGAGGGCTGTGCCACAGGCCCAGCACTGATGGGGTGTTCCCAGCAGCAGGCAGGAGCAAGCCCCAAGGCTGGGTGAGGAGGTGCAGCTGGCGCTGCCACCCAGGAGCCAGGTGGGTCCCGGACCCAGGCACTGCAACGCTCTTGGGGCTGTGCTTCCGCCGCTGCTGTAACAGGAAAGGCAGCGGTGGTTGGGCCAAGAGGAAATGCTCCTCAGCCATCACCCGGCCCCCGCCAGGTCTGTGGAGGGAGGCAAGGACAGGCTTCACGCTAGGGGAGAAGAGCCTCACTTGAAATTTGGAGCTGCACCCAAGAATTACTGACAACATGCTGAGGAGTCCCATAACCCACCTGGCTGCTGGCACAGTGGGAGCTATCGAGAGGGGACCAGAGTCCCAGGGCCAGGCGCTCTGACCGCCTGGGAGCACTCACACGTGCCTCAGGGTCTCCCTCCCTGTGCTGCCAGGCCCTCCTGCTGGACAGGAAGGGGTTGCACCCTCACCCCCAATGCACTGATGCCTGGGCCCCCCCACCCCTGCACAGGCTGCCTGCAGCTGCCCTCCTCCCCGGGGGCAGCCATGGCCAGGCCCTGGCAAGGTGCCAAGGATGCCCCTCTGCTCGCCCTGGGGCTCACCGGGAAGGCGATTTCACACAGCTTTGCCACCCACTCCTCACTCTGCTGCTTCTCAGCCGCGAAGAGGTAGCTCCTGTCGCTGGTCTCCAGGCGGAAGACGGCTGTGCCGGCCCGGGGACCGCTCTCAGCCACGGGGGCCACGCTGGG